CAGGCTATTCTTCAAAAAGTCACCTTTTGTTTTCCACAGAAGTCAGCCACGTCAGACAAGTGAACATGAAGGTGAGTAAACTATGACAGACTCATCATAATTTAGCATGTAATCAGCAACAATGTAGTCATTATCACAAAATAAACCCATTAGGGTGATACAAAACCCCTTATGCATCTTGCATTCTCCTCTCACATCTCATTATTTTTTCATTTGATTAATCTAATAAAGAAGACTAATGACGAAAAAAGGCGATGAATGGCTTTGAGCAAACATAAAACTAGGTGGCTCATGCTGCATATTGTCTGCAGGTGGATGAAGGAGGCCGGCTACTGCAAAATATTTGATACCACTGCAGATACCGAGGAGCCAGAATTAATTTAAATCCAAACGCTGGCCAAGATCAGAGTAGTCTGAGGTAAGACTACACATAACAGAGACACAGCACTACCATACCAGAACACAGAAACAGCACCACACCCTGCACACAATGATCCACTGCCTAATTGCAGTCTCTCTTAGTAGGCATCTTAATCACACTGTACAGTATTTTCCTTTTAGCTTCTTCAAACACTCCCTTACTATGACACACCACGTTTTTCTAGAGAAATTTGATATGTACATGTCAGTTAAGATGAATATCAGGAACAGTGAATGAGGTCATTTGATCACTCCAGAGAGAGTCACCAATCATTGCAGCATCTGACTGGGGAGGGGGGGGGGCTAGTTTTCAATCAATATAAACAAAGACTTCACTCTCCTGCTAAGACAAAGCTCAATGTCACAAAAGGTGGGAACTCTACGAGGTTAAATTCAACAGGAATAAAGACTTAATTACACACAGATTACAAAAACTTTTCTTGTTATAAAATCTAACCGGAGCCCAGTAAAAATTTCAACATGTGTGATGTCACCATCACAAATTGGACATCTTGAGCTAACATAGCTACAGCTATTTAATTTTTTTCATATTTTCAACTCAAATCTGTTTCTTTCCACCAATGCAAGATGTTTGACTACAATGTATTGGCTTTCATATTACCATATGAAAAATAATGGAATGATTCCCTACACCTCAAAAACAAAAGGTTTTCTCTGGCTTAAAGGTGATGTGTGTAATTTTTGTGCTATCAGAAAAAATGCAAAGATAATAACTGTTTCCAAACCGATTTCTCAAATGTTCCCTAGAACTTCCATTGTTTGGACAAAAAGGTAGTCCCGCCCCAAACTCACACTATTAGTTGAGTGTTTGTTGTTGTCTTGAGATCAAAGGGGTCAACGTTTACCATAGATATAGATTATAATATAATGAAATACTAGCAATATACAATACCATTCAAAGGTTTGGGCCAGTAAGATTATCACGTTTTTTTTTTAAATAAGTCTCCTATGCTCAACAAGGTGGCTTTTATTCAGTATTAAATACAGTACAATAATAGAATATTGTGTAACATTATTAAATTAACTCTTTTCTATTTGAATATATTTTAAATTGTAATTTATTCCTGTTATGGCAAAGCTGAATTTTCAGCATCATTACTCCATTCTTCAGTGTCACATGATGCTTCAGAAAAAATTCTAATATGCTGATCTGCAGCTCACGAAACATTTATTATTATTATCAATGTTGAAAACAGCGTAACTTTTTTGTAACTTTTGGAAACTGCGATTCAGGCATCTTAGGTGACTAGAATGTTATGATGAAGAGAAGTCTTTTGATCAGTTTCATGCAACCTTGCTCAATAAATGTATTAATCGTATTAATTATGTCAATATATCTATACAATGTGTTTTAATTTCTTTCAAAAAAAGAAAAAAGAAAACAAAAATCTTACTGACCTTAAACTTTCAACAGTATTACACATTACTTATATTTTTTTCCTATCTGCTGCATTTGTTTTGACTCCAAAAACTGTATGTTTAAGTATTTTAATAGCTAAAAATTACACACACCACATCAAGGATTAAGCAAGTTGGGAAAAAAATGAACAGCAATAAACTATGCATAGTAAAAAACATAATTTTATCATAATATTACACACAAAACAAATCCAAAAATAAAAGAATTCACAGATAAGACCGTGTATGAGAAAAAAATACTTCATATCTGTCCTTTGAGTGCATACCCCAAAGAGAATAAAGTTTGGCTGTAACCCCTGACCTTTTCCTCCTCCATGCACTGCTTCCTTTTCTCCTCCACGGCGGAACGACGGAGCATCTCCTTTTGCCGCTGCTCCTCCAGACGCCTCCCTCGCTCCACCAGCGAGCGTTCATACTGCAGCTGTGCACGCTGCTCCTTCTCCAAGAGAGCTCGCTCCCGCACAGCTAGACACACAGTGGGGGTGGACACGGGTAAGTCTATAGATTGCCCTGATACGGGAAAGGCCAAGCCTCTCCCTACCTGCTGACAATACTGATTCATTTGTGCTAAGCACTTAGTGGTATTATCAGAAGTCTTCCACCATCGGATTCAGTGATGAATGGAGCAGTAGTCTATTGCCCTGGAATAACCCTCTGCTTTAACTTATCAACAAGATTGTCATGAAATCCATTTAGGAATTAAACATGTTCTAAAGCAGGCCAATGCTTTAGACAATTTTGAAAGGAACATATTTCGTTGTTGACAGTAATAACTGAATAAAAGTCTTGCTGCTCACCTTGGCTCTTATCTTTCTCCTCTCTTCTTTCTTTGGCCAGTCGAATTCTGTCCTTCTTCGAGCCTCCATCTTTGCATGAGAAAGAAAACAAATGTTAAAATGCACATAAACAGTGAACACACCTTTAGGAGTCCGTGCAATCTTTTTCTTGTGTAACCAAATATCCAAGCCCCTAAATGTCTATGGTGGTTATAGTCCTGAAAACATTGGCTTTAATTGTGTAATGGTATGCAAATATATGCAAAGTCAAAATGCTCAAAGGGAACACAAACGCGATTTTTCGTAAAGTGATTTTCCACTATTCACAGCAGAGCTGGTGGCACAGTCTGTCAGATCCCTGTTAGCTTCAAATCTAAAGCACATTTGACAAAGCACATTTATTCTTTGTTTTTAAAGGAAATTGGGCATTTATATCAGACAGAATGCAATGTTAAATCATTATAGGAATCTTTCAATAATAAATCTAAATATAAAATATAAAACCAATATCAAACTCATTTATTCTGATGTGTCTGTTAAAAAAGAGCTATAAATAGCTTGCAGAGCAAACCAGGGCTAGTTGTCACATAGAATGTATATTTGTAACTACTGTATAAAATTTTGAGTGTAATTAGATGCGTTTTCTACGGCAGTGATTTTGTACGTTAGTTTCAAATATTTTTGTAAATGGTCTTTAATTTGAACTTCTGGGCTGTTTTAAATGCTACACAATATATTAATTTGTCTGCTAAATCAGTGGTTTGATAATTTGACTGTTTCTTGAATTATTTTATGCCTCGTGCGTTTTACTGTGTAAATTTAGCTGAAAAGCCTGTAATAGGCTTCATAATGGCAAGTACAAATTTGCGCCATGTAACCTAACAACATGTCCCGTCACAAAAGATCAACGTGTTTTAACAACCTGCATCTTTCTTTGTAATAACAGTGTAAATGTTCAATAGCCTTTTTTGTGTAGTAAAGAGTTTAAGGTGTGTATGAATAGAAATTGAACCAACTCGGAGAAGAATTTACTGGCATAAACAGTGTGACAACTAGCCCCGGACTTCATTCCCTATACGATAAAATCACACTTTTTTAACAATAATAATAAAAACATATTAAAGGGTTACGCACTCTTCACCTGGACAGGTCAGTCTTTGGTTTCCCATTCTCCTCTCACCTCAGCAGCCTGTTTCCATGACAACAGCTCGCTTTCCCAGTTATCCGTTCCTCTGTCAAATCTGGGTGAGGCTTCTTTTTAAAGAATGAAAATATAACACACCACAACGTACCTGACAGGTTTTCCACGATGGTGGCCATTTCCAGTTGATCTATGGGAGTTTTCCAACGATCAGTATCCAGATGACATTTCGTCTCACTACATTTATTTATCAATTAATATTTAAGTTGAAAAAATCAAAACGCGACGAAAAACTAAACAGTTTCACCTCAGATTTTATTCATCCGAACACCATCTCGGTCTTCGACCAGATATTACTAGCGAAGGCTGGAGGCAGAGCCATAAGAGCGCGAGGTTCTAATAAATTACAACACGCTCGACCAATTGCCGCGTGCCGACACTGCCGAGCGCACGCGCGCGTAAGCAATGCACCCACGAGCAACGCATTACGTCAGTTTACATAGCGCTATATATGGAAAGCTCAGCAGCTGAGCACAGGGCAGAAACTCACATTTATTTCCCCTAGAGACGTTTAATTAAACGTGCATGGAAATATATAACCATAGCCTACTTTAGTGATCACAGGATGCCATTTATCTGGCATTATCTTATAATTGAGAGGTAAAGACCGCTCAAATATGCAAATATCTGCCTGGATTATGTCTGGAGTCTGGACTAGATATATGCATGCAAAATGTGAACAATAAGATCCTCTAAAGACTATTTCTAGTGCAGACATCCAGTTAGAGAAGTGTGTGATTACATTTTTTAGTAACAGACAATTTTAACCACAAACCAAATATGACATTATGGAACATATGGGCTATTTTCACACTACAGTATTGTCCTCCAAGTCTGTGTTAACATCTGTCTGAGCATGTAGACGCATGTGCTATAGGCTACCTTGGTTTTTCACACTGCAACACACGTGATGGGGCGAAACACAGTGACTAATATCACTCAAGCCTTTGGCTAGACACACACTTACTATAAATATACCGCATTTTTTATACCCACAATCCAAAACACCTGCAACAATAAAGACAATATATTACAAGATTGTACTTTTCATAAATACTGGAGGTAAAAACGGTTTTCCAACAAAATGAAGAAACCTGGTGGATAATAAATAATAAAAAATAGGACAATGACTAATATTTAAAAAGGCTTAAAATACACATTTCTAGGATTTTGAATGTTGTTGAATTTTATTTCAAAATCACAGGTCTTCTGATCAAAAGCAGCAGAGGACAAAAAGCAACCATCATAAGCTCATCAAAACAATACACCTAAAATTAACAAGTTATAACCAACAACCACCATGCTCATTCAAAAGGGCCAGTCTGCAAGAACACAATCAATAAACTCTCATAATTCTTGCATTGATTAGCCTATTTGCATTTTGCATACAAAAATACTTCCTTATTCTGGTTATTTGCTTTGTGAGCTATCATTTTAGAAAGTAAAATAAAAATGTTTCCATTTTCATTTTACAAATATTTCAGTTGCTGATGTTTTCTGTAGTTTAGTATTAAGCCATTACGTTGTAACTCTGAGTAACAACTGTGAAGTAATACATAGAGCTTCAAGTTAGTTACTTTCATAAATTCAGCAGCCCTGCAAGATGAGTATTCAATTGTTATCATCTGAAGTAGACAAAAACACAAAAGAAAATTACGATAGATTAAAACAGAGCTAATCAGATAGGCTTTCTGAATAAATGCATCATCCAATGCATCACTGTGTGGTCAGTAAATTATAAGAGACTTCAAAAACATTCAAAAAGACAAGAGGCGTTCTAGAGGTATCAGCTTTTACCAAAAGAGTTTCACTCACCTTTACAAAGCTTTTAAACATGTCTATTAGGATACAGACGGCAAGACCAAACATAAAATTGGTTATCTTTTTATTTTGCGAATCCATAGATTCTGTACTGTAACTAAATTCCACTTGATGTGAAATCAATATAAATACATTAAAAGATAACAAAATGGATTGAAGGTGACAATGCAGTCATGTGTTTAGTCAGAGAAATCTAAAACTTGAGCCTCCGCGTACATAATGATGGAGGGGCTACTTCAGGGGGGATGTGAGGATGTTGTCGCTTCGGGTTGCTCAGCTTTTACCAAAAGAGTTTCACTCACCTTTACAAAGCTTTTAAACATGTCTATTAGGATACAGACTGCAAGACCAAACATAAAATTGGTTATCTTTTTATTGCGAATCCATAGATTCTGTACTGTAACTAAATTCCACTTGATGTGAAATCAATATAAATACATTAAAAGATAACAAAATGGATTGAAGGTGACAATGCAGTCATGTGTTTAGTCAGAGAAATCTAAAACTTGAGCCTCCGCGTACATAATGATGGAGGGGCTACTTCAGGGGGGATGTGAGGATGTTGTCGCTTCGGGTTGAGAAACATTCACTTCCTAGTGTTTTCCTCTTAGATCTGGGGAAGGAACATGGTATTGTCAGAACAAAACCCTGATTGATGCACTTACTACTTACATCACGTCTCCATTTCAATTAATCAAAACATTGAGTTTTTAAAATTAATCTTAATCTTCAGATGAATATAAGAGTGTTTTAGTACTAACATCATCAATGTCCTCATCATCATCACCAATATCATCGAACTGAATCTCGTCGTCATCACCAGGCCCGAAGGTATCAGTCTCGTTGATTTTGGCTGCAAGGCACCAACAGTAAGAATTTAATGCCAAGGCATTTATTACAGTGCAGCAAAAAGATCAGCATATTGTAAGCCAAGAACCTCCATTCATCAAGAACCAGGTTTTTCAAAATAAATATACTCACCGTGTTCTGGAAGCTCTCCATAGGCTTTTAGACTCCGAGCCTCATCAGCATTATACTTCAAAATGACATCTGCTTTGTTATCCTGATAAGACATTTCAGAATTTAAAACGTCAGATATTCACGCCAATAAAAAGCCTGTGCATAAAAGAACTGTAGATTCATCAGCAGCATGAATCTTATTTTTAAACTGAAAGACTAAAGGTTTTAAATACTGTCAACTCATTTCTTTCCAGGCAAACAAATGACATTTATATTTAATTCCTAATACATTTATATTTAATTATATTAAAATGTATTAGGAATTAAATATAAATGTCATTTGTATATAGCTATATTAGTATATAATTAATTATATTAAAATAAATATTTAAACCTGATAACTCCTTAATCCAGTGAGTATAAACAATTCTATTTTTATTACATTTTTAAAATAGTATTACAATACATATTTATTTATTCCCTTTTTAACACATACCAGCATCAAGGCTATTTTCAAGGCGATCTCTACATAAATTATACAATTAACAAAATGTGACAATACATAATTACATTAAATATTGAACATACATGGCAGTCAACTATTATAGCAAAAAGTGTGTAAATATTAAATCATATTTAATTATAGCTATATTATGTATAATATTACATGAAATTATATATTAAGAAATATTTAACAAACCTGGTAGTCCCTTAATCCAATGAGAATAATGTCTGATGTGTTAATCCACACCTAAATTAAAGAAAAAAGACATAAGACCTTGAGTAAGACAAACATCTTAGTAATTATTCCTGTTAAAGGATAATATAGACACAGCTAAAAAAAAAAAAAAAAATTCATTTCATAACATTTTGTCCTTTGCTAAAATTTTCCAGCATATCAAAAATTCCATAGCTAAAATGAGTTACATTAGTTAGCTTCATCAAACAATATTGACTGATTGGCTGTGTGGACCGACAGAAATGTTTAGACCAATCTCATTCACAAAGTGATGGAAATGCTAAATCTGCATTCAGTCTGAAGCTTCACAGACTTGATCTGTAAAGTGCACCTTTTTCCGGAGCTTTCCTCGGATGTGACAAAGCCGCTTGACTCCATCAAAACACATGGCCTCCAATCTCCCATTTCCCAACATCTTGATGACCTGAGCATATTCTAGAAGACAGAAGAAGCTTTTCATAAAGAAAAAAATGATACAACTAAAAGCAGATCATGTTTTGAAGAGAAGGCAGTGCCCTACATCATGAACGCTCATTATAGGTAAGAGTATTACAACACACCTTGTCCATCCTCTTTAAACACCAGCTCCCTTTTCTCAGATTCATTCTCATTCTTACCACGTCGCCGATTCTTTCCTCCTTTTCCTGGATACAGAGAAATTAAATGCGCTCAGATACCATCATACACTTGGAAAAATGCCATCTTATGAACACACTACAGAGTCCTATGACAATAACGAAGTGTTGCTTAATGACTGAGCAAAGTACACACATTCAACAGACTACCCATTACAATGACATCTTAAACTATTGTTAATTTCATGTGTACTCAACTTTAGCATGTACGATCCCCTTTACAAATATGAGCTTCGTAGTTAAACCTAATCATTTATAAGTATGTAAAGATCAAAATACGTTTAACAGGTCCGCTAGTATCCATAAGTAACGTTACCTGCCTAACACAACACATAGCGGCCAAACGCATCCCTTACATTACCTGATAGGAGCTTTTATTTCATATTATGAACCAAAATGCATCAAATACAGAGGCAAAAACAAATTCAACTGCCACAATTAAACATCAAACACTGACAATAAACTGCGACAGTCAATATCACGCGCAATAACTCACGTTACCATGTGTGCTAAATCAATGCTAACATCTCACACGGGTATCTTTATATACCACCTTACCTTTATTTTTCGGCATGTTCTTTAAACGACGTCGAAGGCTCTCGTATAATGATCAGAAACGTTAGGGAATTATAACAATATGTCAAATATTTTACTTCTCAAACGTGCGGTTGTGAGCAGATCAGCGCCGCTAGCGAGAAAAGCTGACAAAAACGACGCATGCGCAGATCGCCTCTTCTTCTTCTTTTTTTTTTGGCGTACCGCACTTATCAGTGTGCATTACTGCTGTCTGCTGGTGACTCGGATCAGAAACATTTTCCTTTTTGAGGAAAGTTTATGAGGAAAACAACAGAGTCCCTTCTCCAGAAGCCCAAGCAGCGCTGCGTGTTCATCTCCTCAGCTTGCACCTCCAGCATCATGCAGCCTATAGAAAGAGAAGCATCTCTGCTAACATTCATATTAATAAACCTACCTCTGCACTTCCTCTTATACCACTTCCATACCTGTCCACATACATACATCTTGCACATTCATACCTTTATATTTCCTATATACTTCCTTATTTTATATTCTATATATTAAACCTGTACTTTCTAAGTATTGAATCAATGCAGAGACAATATTATAACCTATATCTAAATCTAATATACTTTTAATGTTCGCAGATCGCCTCATTCAACAGCGCAAAACTTCATTCACAACCGCAACCAGCTCAGGAGCTGATAGAATATGAATTTTTATAGTAGTGGGCTACATCTACAATTTATTATTATCTAAAACGATACGATATATAAAATTAACATGATATATTAACTAATTTCTGAATAGTTCAGAGGAACTAAAACATTTTTAAGAAAAGGGAAAAAGTACAGATATATTCTGTAAAGCTAAAAGTATAGATGCAAACACGGATAAAAATACAGTTGAAAAGAAAGATGCGCTTGAAAAAAAACCCAACTAGTTTTGGAAGGCGGGGGTTGGCAGCACTGAACTGTGACTGGAGCTGAGATGGTAGGAAGTGACGATGGATCAGGAAGTGAACAGGAGGAATGGACTGGACAAGAGCTGAACTCCTCACGGGATGAGAGTGTTAAATATGAAGAGAGTGAGCTAGCCGTTACTGAGGACGGCATCTCGACTGTCATTTTCGGGGTTAAAGAAAATCATGCCAGAAAGTGTATCAACTGTCTAACTTGTGGCCAGAGGTTCCGTAGTAGACGCACCCTAATGAAGCATCGACGGGCTAATCACGCTAAAAATAAAACCGAATCTGAAGTCAAAGAAAAGTTTTATATTTGCTCAATTTGTGGGGAGAAGTTTCTTAAAATGGGTCTCCTTTTGCGCCATCGAGTCATACACACTAAGGAGAATCCAGAAGGGAGGTTTGTGTGCCAACAGTGTGGAAAGGGCTTCCCCCATCAAGCTTTTTTGAAAGCTCACCAGAAAGTTCACGAGGATGCGGAGTCGACCATGCCGTTCACATGCCACTTATGTCCCAGACGTTTCGGCTACAAAGTTGCTCTCGTTGCTCACATGAAACATCACTCATCCAAACTCACATGCATCTGCCCCATCTGTGAAAAGAGCTATCAGTACAGAGGTTCCCTCATTCAGCATCTCAAATCATCTCATGCTGGAGAGAAACTCTTGTGTAAGACCTGTGATAAGGGTTTCCTAAGAGTCAACGGCTACGTCAAACACATGGACAAACACAACGTGATGACCCCGTTCTACTGCGACATCTGCAAAATTTATTTTTCACAGCGAGGCTACACGGCACACATGGCCACCCATGAGCAGAAGAGCCTTTCTGAGCAGCAGCCTGATGAGTCTGTTGAGAACCAGCCAAACGATACTGAAATAAGTCTTGTCAGTGTGAATAGCTCTGAGGAAGGAATGGATCCAGTGACTGTGAGGCGGGAAGAAGCTGAGATGGAGCTGCTCAGTGAAGATGAGATGGAAGTTCTGTCTGGGAATTCAGTGGATCCATCAACAGTCGAAGGTGTGGAGTCTGAAAATGTGGTTGTGGAAAAGAAACTTAATCATGAAAAAGAGTGAGGAAAGCTTTGGCACACAATGAGATCTCCGTCTAAACAATATATATATTTTTTTTTTAGGCTAACCAAAGGTGAAAACTCTCATTTGTTTTTTTTCTTTCACTAGTTAGGTTTATGGTTAAACCTAAAGGCCTAATTCTGTTTAAATGTTAGTTACATGGTCAGTTAAACTAAAAATTGTATATTGTAGGCAGATTTCTGTATTTCTTTTTTACAGAATATGTAACCATATATTGTACGTACATTTGATTATCTTTTTATCATGTAGAAAATGTAAGTCTCTGTGGTGTTAGTAATAATGTTTAGCTGCTAATCATGTTTAGACATTCTACGTGCATATTTACAAAGACATATTACATTATAAGATGCTTTTCATAAAAACAGTGTTAAAATATCATGTATGATTATTACTTTAGGACTGTTGTAGTCTTGATGCGAAGAGACGCATTTATGGTTAGATTTTCTACATTTTATAGTTATAAATACACTACTTTAAAGGATTGGCATTAGTAAGTTTCTCTCGCTCTCTGTTTCTCTTTTTTTTTTTTTTATTAGAAATTAATACTTTTATTTAGCATGGGATGCATTATATGGACCAAATGTGACCGTAAAGACAATTATAATTTGTTTCAATTTCTGATAAATGCTGTTCTTTTAAACTTTCTATTCATTTAGAAAATGTGTCATGATTTCCACAAAAATATTAGGCAGCTCAACTGTTTTCAACACTGACGATAAGAAATGTTTCTTGAGCATCGAATCAGCATATTAGAATGATTTCTGAAGGATCATGTGACACTGAAGACTGAAAATTCAGTTTTAACATTACAGGAATAAATTACATTTTAAAAATATCTTAAAACAGAAAACAGTTTATAATTTGTAATAATATTCATCATATTAGTATTTTAATTTACCCCAAACATTTTAAAGGGGTGGTTCACAGTTTTTTTTTCTAGGCTTGATTGTGTTTATTGGGTGCAGTCTAACATGTGTTAATGCTTCGTTTAAAAAAACAAAACATTATTTTTCACATCATTTACCTTTATTCCACACCGCTCTGTCCCTTCTCTGAGAAATGCGCTGATCATTTCCTGCTTTTATGCAGCCCCTCCCTCAGAAATAGGCGGTGGGCTCTGATTGGTTTGCTAGCCCAGTGTGTTGTGATTGGATAAACCGCCTCTAGTGCGTGTCTAAACGGCCCGCCCCTCACCTCAGCGGCATGTGCTCCGGTTGTATTGTAAACAAAGGTGTCGTTAAAGGGATAGTTCACCCAACAATGAAAATTCTGTCATTAATTACTCACCCTCATGTCGTTTCAAACCTGTAAGACCTTCGTTCATCTTCAGAACACAAATTAAGATATATTTGATGGAATCTGAGCTGTCTGACCCTCCCATAGACAGCAACACAACTGAAATGTTCCCAAGTCCAGAAACATAGCAAGGAGATCTGTAAAATAATCCATGTGACATCAGTGGTTCATCCGCAATTATACAAAGCTACGACAATACTTTTTGTGCGCAAAAGAAAAAAAATAACGACTTAATTCAACAATTCGTCTCCTCCGTATCACCCTGGTGCCATTATCCACTGAAGAATATCCACTGGATGTAAACAGCGTATGCTGTTCTGTGTCAGCTGCGTCACGCCGGATCGGTTTCCTACGTTGTTTGTGATTTGATCTGAACGGAAACAGTGTATCCATGTGACGCAGCTGACTTGGGAACATTTCAGTTGCGTTGCTGTCTATGGAGACATAGACAGCTCTCAGATTCCATCAAAAATATCTTAATTTGTGTTCCGAAGATGAACGAAGGTCTTACGGGTTTGAAACGACATGAGGGTGAGTAATTAATGACAGAATTTTCATTTTTTGGGTGAACTAACCATTTAATATCGCTTATCAGTTTGAGCCCGATTGAGAAGCAGAGGATTTTATTGAAGAGGATCGTGCAGAACCTGTGCAAGCATGGCTTTTAATGGAAGGCCAATGTTTTTTGTTTGTTGTCTCATACTTTTAGATATGCTGTTATTTATAAATGCTACTGCTTATGTTAGCTTTTAATATACGGTTTTATCCTGATTAAAGCTTTAATACAGTACGGCAACTGCATGCGCGTCCATGTATAACACTTCTCATAGCTATGTGAAGTGTATAAATGGAAGAGTTCATTGTTGGAGCTTAGCTGAATGAGAGAGAGAGAGATGCAGAGCAGGGGACATGAGGAACAATATTAAGAACCGCTGCTTTAGAATATTGATTTTGAAACTTGTGAATCCATTAGTATCGTTAGAAGACAGAATATTTTGATTTATATATAAATAGACTTTTACGTGCACCTCTAGTTTTCTCTTGCTCTTCTCTAAAGCAGCGCAGCATGGCCTCTTCCCCTTTGTGGTCTTTTCCCAAGGGCGGGGTTATCTGGGTTTGTTAAGTCACGAACCCGGAAGTAACTTGTTGTAGTCCCTACCAGCCATTTTTGTAGGCATTAAACCCACAGAGCTACTAGCTAATATAGCATCTTGCCCATGCACATTTATAAAAATGTCAAGGCTGTAAGTAGTCACTTAAAAAGTCACTACATATATCTTTGAGCATTTCTGTAATTCTCTACATCCGAACAAATAAACAGGTCAGCAAGTATTAGGTGAGGCGATACAGCCGTATACATTTCCGCCCCAGCTTATTTTCTTTTGTATAATGTATTGCGTTTCACCTGAGTTCTCTTTTTGACATTCTGTGCCGTTTACATGTAGGCCTCCACTGCATTTTTGTGCTTTGGACCTCGTTCACATTGTCGTTTTGTAAAAAGAACGCTAAGCTAACACCAGCAGTGGTCATATAAACATTTGGACTCGTCTTATAATCTTGTATGGATCTGCTGAGAGAGTCTCTCCTTTTTCGCTGTCCAAAAATGACTGGAGAACAAGGTTTGCTGGGATACGCCATATATTTTTTAACAATTTTGTTTCTAAAGGCTCAGTCACACTGCAAATTAAGCATGCAAAATTATTAAATGCCAGAATTATAAATAATAAATATAGTGTTAAAACATATTGTTTCCTGCAACACAGCCAGCCATGCAATTTGAATTCTTTGCATTGAATCAGAAGGTCAAAGTGACATTTAGATCATCAAATGTGCTATGCAAATTTAGGTCAGAGTTCACCAAATATGAATCTAACATGCAGCATAATTAAAAGCTTGTCTTTGTGCTTTGGCTCACCCATGTATTGTACGATGAACACTTTCTATAAAAATGACAACAGTGCAAAAAATACATTTACAGTCATAATAAAGTGTTTTTGTAAAAATGGCCAACTTTATTTTCTACATGTACAAAAGAAAGAACAGGATAGCAGCTTGCTATATGGACAGCAACATTTCCAGCACTCTTCCAAGTCAAAGTCATTCATAATAATTAGTCCTTATCTACTGGAAGAAAGGAAGTAATAAATATGACATATATTAAGAATTTAAATATACTTTTAATAATATTAAAAAACAATACTATAAAAATACAGTACATTTGTTAATAATTCCTTGATATTTAAAAAAAATTCTGTGAATTTGGGAACCTTGTGTATTCTAGGAGCATTTGAAATATAAAATAAGTTTAAGAGCAAAGTAAAATATTTATGGGAATATTTTTAGATATTTAAGTTTTATTCTAAAGCATAATGTGTGGTCAGGACCAAACCTTAACCAGATGGGGGGCGTCCTGTCTGTTCAGCTGGTATTTGGGGAGCTGGTCTCTGTGAAGGATCCAGGGATGTTTCAACACCTGTGCAGCTGTTAGTCTCTGATGGGGGTCTACATGCAACATCTTAGACACCAAGTCCTGTAAAAGACAAGGTGTTTGAATGATTTTTTTTGTCTGGTGGGCCTTTAAGGAGATGTTTTTTGAAGAGTGTAATTTAGATGCTCTTCTCAAGTGGGTACCTTTGCCTCAAGTGAAACAGAACTCCAGTATCCACCTGTGAGAGAAAACTTCCCACTGCCGATTCGAGCTAGAATCTCCTCCGGTGTGTCCTCTGGGCCATTAGCAAATGGAGTAAAGCTGAGAAAAAGCCCAGTGTCAGTTGAATACAAACACATTTTCAAAACTATAGTCAGTACTAGGTTTACATACTTACTTACCCAGTTAACATCGTGTACAAAAGAACGCCTAAACTCCAGATATCACAGGCAGCATCATAACCCTGTTTCTTCAGCACCTGGGGACCAAAATAATTTTTTTTGATTAAGAAACTTACTTTTATTTTACAAAATCGTGTGCCACCTCTGACATGCAAAATGTACCTCTGGGGCCACAAAGTTGGCAGTGTAACAGGGTGTCATCAGCAGTCCGTTTTCCGCTCTCAGCTGCTTGGCAAAGCCAAAGTCACAGATCCTGATGGACTCGGGATTCCCAGATTCATCAACATAAAGGATGTTACTGGGCTTCAGATCCCTGTGAACCACCTGATGAGGAAGAAAGGAAGCTTACGTTAGAACCAAGGTGGCTCACGGACCATATAAATACATTTTAAATGATCACTTCATTTCTAATTCAAATTATTACTGTTATTATACATTTTTACATAATCATTTTGATTTTATTATATACAGTTATATACACTACCGTCCAAACGTTTGGAGTCAGTATGATTTTTAAAAAATAAATTAATACTTTAATTTAGCAAGGACACATTAAATTGATCAAAAGTGACAGTATAGACATTTATAAGGTTACAAAAGATTTCTATTTCGAGTAAATGCTGTTCATAAAAAAAAGTATTAAACAGCACAACTGTTTTCATCATTATTAATAATAAGAAATGTTTCTTGAGCGTCAAACCCGCATATTCGAATGATTTCTGAAGGATCGTGTGACATTGAAGAATGAAGTTATGATGCTGAAAATTCAGCTTTGCATCACAGGAATAAATTACATTTTATAAAACAGATTAAAATAGAAAACATTGTGATCATATTTTACAATATTACTGTTTTACTGTATGTAAAGCACTTTGAATTACCATTGTGTATGAAATGTGCTATATAAATAAACTTGCC